AAAATTCGTTTCTATGGAGAAGTAGATCGATCGTAATCAATTATCAGTTTTGGCCAATATTCAAAAATCTAGTTTAAAAAAAATCACTTGATTTACAAACAGATCTCGATCGTCGATCATAATATACAACATTTTTTTATTAAAAAATATCCGAATCTTCAATATCAAATGATCGCAAAGACATCAATCAAAATTCTGAGTAAAAATTCAAAAGCCTTAATTCTATAATAAGTTTGTAAATAAGCGATTAATAGTCAAATCGTCCGATCATTTAGTCTATTTGTAAAAAAGTTTTTAAGATAATTTTTTTCGAAGAAAAATCATTTGATCATTCATATATGTATCTTAGAAAAAAATGTACATATGGGGAATTTCGTCTCAAGTGACCCAACTTTAAAAATCGATGCCTTCCGATCTGGAGGAAATTTGCACCTATGGGATAGTAGGCCAGACAAAAACATTCAGTTCTATCGGTCAAGAATTGCCGGAGTCAGAGGGGGTCAAAGTTGGACATTTTGGTCATACAGGGTTCTATTCAAATGAGTGTAACTTTTTACCTATTGGTCCTAGCTATAATTGTTCAAAGGAATTCAGATAGCTAATTCTTCGGTTTACGCCGATCAATACTTTTTTGTAGCACATGCAACTACAACATCATATCCACGATTGACCATATGATTGTAACTTACAAGAAAAAAAAACACCGATCTGTATTTCGCGCGGCTGAGCAGTTCCACAAAGAGTTAATGCATCCGAAAAGACAGTGTTTTCTAAACTTTTGCATTTTGTTTGTCTCTTCGTAGTCTATGGGGTGACGATAGAATAGCTAGTCACCTGGGCAGTCGGTGGCTAGGGGTAACACTAAGTGGTAGGTTAAACTGGTAGTTCGGGACTGTGCGAACGAACTGCTGGGATATTACAGTTATTTTTATACCCTACACCACTTTAGTGGGGAGGGTATATTGGATTTGTGCTGATGTTTGTAACATATAAAAATATTCGTCCTAGACCCACCTTAAAGTATACCAATCGGCTTAGAATCGTTTTCTGAGTCGATTAAGCTATGTCCGTCCGTCCGTCCGTCCGTCCGTCCGTCCGTCTGGCTGGCTGGCTGGCTGTCCATGTAAACCTTGTGCGCAAGCTACAGGTCGCAATTTTCGAGATAATTGGATGAAATTTGGCATGCACGTTTTATTTGACCCAAGGACGAAGCCTATTGAAAATGGTTAAAATCGGTCCATTATTTCACCTAGCCCCCATAGAACAGAACCCCCCGAAAAGGGCTTCTGAGCTCATAATTATGTTAAATATACAGATATATCGATAAAATACGGCACAACTAAGTTTTATAGAAGTCTTGATAACCCTGCCAAATTTCATAAAGATCGGGCCCCATTTGACCCTAGCTCCCATACAAAGTCCCCTTCAGAAAATTACTTGAATGTCCCAAATTAACTTATAAACACAAATATCGCGATGAAATTCAGCACAATTAAATATTATGTAAATATAAATATGTTCACAAAATTTTATCGGGCTTGGTCCATATTTGCCCCTAGCCCCCATATAAAGCCTCTTTCAGAAAATTGGTTTTTCATCCATAAATTGCTTAAATGTATCGGAACAAGGAAATATTGAAGATAAATGCGATATTATGAAAAATAAATCACATTTAATATTCATAACTGGTGTAGGGTATCATATGGTCGGCCACGCCCGACTATACTTTCTTACTTGTTCTTTTTGATTTGGGAATTTGATCAGGGCTCACTTGCGTGTTTTCCCCCAATTGGAGTCTTTTGAAGTTTTATCAATGAAAGGTCTTGTTTACTATAACCAAGTACTTACATAGAATTAAAGCTGGTTTCGAAATTTGTCAATTAAGAATTTGAGAGATGATCATGTCAAGTATATGCCAATCACTTACCTAAAAGAAAAAATAAATAAAAATTAAATTAAGAAATTGTCTTTACTCGTTAAACTATAATTACAATTTAAAAAAGTAGTAAAATAATGAAATAACCTTAAGATATTTATTTACACATTAAAATAGCCCATCCTTCAACTTTGTATCTAAAATAATTTAATTTCTTTTCTCATATGTTTATTTGTTTAAAAAAACGTGGTAATAACATAATTAAAAAAGTAACAAAATATGTTAGTATTAGCTTTAATTAACAAACAATTTATGATTTATTACCGAGTTAAACCAAAAAGTTGGGGCTGGTCAAACCCAGAAGCGTTAAAACATTTAATTAGTTACTCCAAGTATGAAATGCAGACACATCATTAGCAGCCAAACCAATGAATGAATAAATGAATCTTCCATGAAATAGTATTTCAAGAAACTGTTACTTGTGTGAAATAGAAAAAAAATATTAAAACTTTCACTGATTTTTGGAAGTAAAAGTATTACTCAATAATTTTTAAGGGCTTTTAAAAAATTTTACTTCAAGAATTTGTAATGGTAGAAAAACCAAAGTTATTAGATAAAGTAATAAATTTTTGATTTGGGAAGGTGTTTTTTTTTTCTGGAGAGAAAACAAAATGATGTAACTTAATGAACTTTTAAAATATGTATTAAATAATATTATTTATGGTTGTTTGAAGGGAAAAAGCTGTTTTTTTACATTAATAGTATTATTATTATTGTCTAATAATATTGAGTAATATTACTCAATAGCAGTGTTTTTAAGACCTAATTAAAGTATAAATAATTTATAAATATTTTCATAACCTTCTTTTGCGAAATAGATTTTGGTTTAATTAATAGCTTATGGAAAAATTCATGTTTTGTTTACTATTTAAATAATTTGATTTTTATAAATTGAATAAAATGTTTTATTTAAATTGCTATTATTTTAACCCAGCTGTTTATAATATTTTGTATAGCATTTTTCACATATTTACATGATAAAGATTTTCACGATCATCATTAAGTCAATGCTTTGCCAAACGATTAACACCAATAGCTAAAATCATGTCCAGATTAAGAATAAAATTAAGTTTAGATTATTATCTTTTTAAATCTCATACAGTAGTTCAAAACAGGCTGATGGCAAAATTAATTGAAATTTTGTCTTACTTTGCGGGTCCCTGGCCGCGCCACTGCTACGGTCATAAGATCTAAATTCAAAACTTAAACTCGACAACACTTCCTCTTTGAGCATGTGAAATTTCGAATCGAACCGATTGTTTAGAAAAAACATAATTATTTCAATCTTTTTTAAAATACCACTATGCAGTGATCATTAATTGTGATCGCAAAAATCGATATTTTAACTAAATATGTTACCCAATTATTTTTATTTTATGATTTTTCAAATATCTATTTGAAAATCACAAATTCTTAAACAAATCTGTTTATGAAATCAATTCTCCCATATTTTCGGCATCAAAACCTTCGATCGTTCTATCAGACATGCAATCTTACTTTCATAAGTTTCTAATTTCGCCATTTCTAAAATGTTATTGTGAGAAAATAATTATGAATCCTTATTTATAAATCTCAATGTATACAAATTTTAAGTAATTCTGATCTAATTAGCAAAATAGGTCCATAAATTATCAAAATTCTGAGAAATACTTATGCTTTTTAAAGAAATTTTAATATATGGGGAATTTTGTGTCAAGTGACCCAACTTTAAAAATCGATGTCTTCCAATTTGGATGAAATTTGCTCTATCGTTCAAGAACTGACGGAGTCATTTGAATAAAACCCTGTATGACCAAATCGTCCAACTTTGACCCCGTCTAAGTCCGACAGTTCTTGACCGATAGAGCTGAAAATTTATGTTTGACCTACTATCCAATAGTACTAACCTTAGTGCAAATTTTGTCCAAATCAATTTTTTGAGTTGGGTCCCTTAACATGAAATATCCCATATGTATATCGGAAGATATGTTCTATAGATATATGAGAGGTGTAGAAACAAGGGCAGCAATCTCCACATAGCATATTAAAATTAATATATTCGTAAGACCTCTCATTCGTTATATATTAGGGTATTCCATGGACCCATTTTTTGTAGGAGAAAATACGAGAAAAATTAAAAAACAATTTTTTTGGAAAAACCCTAGTTCTCTACCAGCGATTGAAAGCGATTATGCGTTAGTGCTAATGTTTGTAACACCCAAAAATATTGGTCCTACATCTTAAAGTTTAGAATCACTTTGTCCGTCTGTCCGTCCGCCTGTAAACCCTGTGCACATGCTACAGGTCGCAATTTTTAAGATATTTGACGAAATTGGCACATACTCTTCTTTTGATCCATGGACGAAGCCTATTGAAAATGGTTGAAATCGGTCTATTATTTCGCCTAGTCTCCATTAAACCGTACCATCCGAATAAGGCTTTTGAGCTTATAATTTTAAATGATAATGCCGATATTCATAATGATAGGGTTTCATTTGACCCTAGCCCCCATACAAAGTTCCCTTCAGAAAACAAATTGAATTAACTTTTAAACACTAGTATCACTTTGAAATTCTGCATAAATAACTTTAATGTTATCGTAAATGGCTCTACCAAAATTTATACGATTAGGACCATATTTACTTTTGCCCCATATAACCCCTTTTCCAGAAAATCACTTTTTTTTGATAACAAATTGTTAAAATATTTCAGAATTAAGGAAATAATAAAAATAATCCACATTTTTAACATACTCACTGGTGTAGTGTATCATATGGTCCATGTCCGACTATAAATTCTTAATTCTTTTATATTTGTCTTGTTCTGTAAAAAGTCAAGGCACTAGCGGGTTTTAAAAAAAATCATGTAATAATCCACAATAATTTTCTTATTCTTCATTATGCCGATAAATATAACAATTTTGTTGCTATGGCTAAACAAACAACTGTATATAGCTATTGCATGAACCAACATTTAGTACTTATTCTCTTTATATTAATTTTACTTTCTTACAATTCTCATTTACTTAATGCAATGATTGCTATAAGACTACATGTTTTTATTAACGACACACAGCTTCGGCCCTAAAAAACACGATTGTTATATTTCTTTGATAAATGATTGATAAATGTATATCTAAATGAATTTTGTAATATCTAAGCGAATAAATGTAAATTAATTAATAAGTATGTAAAATATATTATGTAAAAATAAGCTTTAAGTAGTATTTTTAATTATTTATAATTTTCTATTTGTAGCAAAACGAGCAGAACTAAATTTCGTTTAAAACACGAAGCAATACATGAGTTTAATTAATAACGTTCGTTTCAACGAAGTCTATTTAACAAACACGAAATGTCAACCGAACAACAACAACAACAACCCGATTCTTCTTCTTCAAGCAACGAAGCTGATCGTTTATTCTGGAATATAACAGTGACAAAGCCAAGAAAATATCTTCGTCATTATCAGTATTTAATCAAAAGGGATAATTTACCAACAGTAAAAGTGACTATACTAAATAAATCTTTGGCTCGTTTGCGTTGCAAAGGTTACGAACGCATTGTAGAAATGATCGAAGATGTTCGTAACAAAAATCGTAATGTTTCCGAATTAGAAGCCGATTCATCTACGTGTGCCGAAGTCGAACGTTTTTTCAAAGATATTGTTGTAGCCAAGCCGAGGAAATATGTTCATCATTATCAGTATGTTTTATACCGAGCGGGTTTACCGGCTTTGAAGGTAACGATTCTTAATAAGGAGCTGGCTCGTTTGCGTTGCTGTGGTTACGAGAAAATCGTACGAATGATAGAATAAGTACTTAATAATACATAATGAATTGTTTTTGCTTTTGTATGAAATATTATTTTAAGTATTTTTTTGTGTAATTCTTGAATTTTTGGTTAAGTTTGTAAAATCAATTATTTTATGTTATTTTTGTATTTGTTGCTTTAAAATGGATTAATAAATTTTATTTTTAATAAAATAGTGGGCTGAGCATTCAAATTTGAATGTAAAAATTATCTTAGAGGTAGTTCGGGTCTTTGGACTAAAACTCGCCCTATAAAAAGTAAAAAAAAAGTTTTTTCTTTAAATGGAAAAAAATCTAAGTATAGTTAGTTACAGAATTATAAACCGTACGAAGTTATTGATATAAACGATTGTTCTTTAAAAATACCTAGACGGTTCGGATGAAAACAACTTACTTAGTATGTTAAAATGTTGTTTTTTAATTCGTATTAGAATTGCTTTTGGGAAAATCTACGTTATCTTGACACTACAGCCGACCACTTAATTCAAATACTAATCGAATAGCTTTACCACATATTACCTTTGCTATTTCTTCATTAAAAAAAGCTAATAATAAAATCTTCTCAAACATTGATAAAAGATTAAGTTAAAACAATTATTAAAACTTTTTAGGCGAAAATGATCGTTCGTTTATAAAACTTATGTCACAGTAATCTTTGGACTATGCCGATTTAGCTAAACATCGGGAATTCGGATTATATTTAAAGTTAATTGTAATAATTTCGAAGGAACTGCTTTGTAGTAAGTAATCCCAAAAATAGGACCTAGTCTCCCCTAATTCATTTTCGATCTTATCCAATTCTAAGAATATATTTAGTTAGTTAGTTATATAGATAGATAGATAGATAGATAGATAGATAGATAGATAGATAGATAGATAGATAGATAGATAGATAGATAGATAGATAGATAGATAGATAGATAGATAGATAGATAGGTAGATAGATAGATAGATAGATAGATAGATAGTAGTAGTTAGTTAGTTAGTTAGTTAGTAGTTAGTTAGTTAGTTAGTTAGTTAGTTAGTTAGTTAGTTAGTTAGTTAAGTTAGTTAGTTAGTTAGTTAGTAGTAGTAGTTAGTTAGTTAGTTAGTTAGTTAGTTAGTTAGTTAGTTAGTTAGTTAGTTAGTTAGTTAGTTAGTAGTTAGTAGTTAGTTAGTTAGTTAGTTAGTTAGTTAGTTAGTTAGAGTTAGTTAGTTAGTTAGTTAGTTAGTTAGTAGTAGTTAGTTAGTAGTTAGTTAGTTAGTTAGTTAGTTAGTTAGTAGTTAGTTAGTTAGTTAGTAGTTAGTTAGTTAGTTAGTTAGTTAGTTAGTTAGTTAGTTAGTAGTTAGTTAGTAGTTAGTTAGTTAGTTAGTAGTTAGTTAGTTAGTTAGTTAGTTAGTTAGTTAGTTAGTTAGTAGTTAGTTAGTTAGTAGTAGTGTTAGCTAGTTACTTAGTTAGTTAGTTAGTTAGTTAGTTAGTTAGTTAGTTAGTTAGTTAGTTAGTTAGTTAGTTAGTTAGTAGTTAGTTAGTTAGTTAGTTAGTTAGTTAGTTAGTTAGTTAGTTAGTTAGTTAGTTAGTTAGTTAGTTAGTTAGTTAGTTAGTTAGTTAGTTAGTTAGTTAGTAGTAGTTAGTTAGTTAGTTAGTTAGTTAGTTAGTTAGTTAGTAGTAGTTAGTTAGTTAGTAGTATTAGTTAGTTAGTTAGTTAGTTAGTTAGTTAGTAGCTAGTTAGTTAGTTAGTTAGTTAGTAGTTAGTTAGTTAGTTAGTTAGTTAGTTGTAGTTAGTTAGTTAGTTAGTTAGTTAGTGTTAGTTAGTTAGTAGTAGTTAGTTAGTAGTTAGTAGTTAGTTAGTTAGTAGTTAGTTAGTTAGTTAGTTAGTAGTTAGTTAGTTAGTTAGTTAGTTAGTTAGTTAGTTAGTAGTTAGTAGTTAGTTAGTTAGTAGTTAGTTAGTTAGTTAGTTAGTAGTTAGTTAGTTAGTTAGTAGTAGTTAGTTAGTTAGTTAGTTAGTTAGTTAGTTAGTTAGTTAGTTAGTTAGTTAGTTAGTTAGTTAGTTAGTTAGTTAGTTAGTTAGTTAGTTAGTTAGTTAGTTAGTTAGTTAGTTAGTTAGTTAGTTAGTTAGTTAGTTAGTTAGTTAGTTAGTTAGTTAGTTAGTTAGTTAGTTAGTTAGTTAGTTAGTTAGTTAGTTAGTTAGTTAGTTAGTTAGTTAGTTAGTTAGTTAGTTAGTTAGTTAGTTAGTTAGTTAGTTAGTTAGTTAGTTAGTTAGTTAGTAGTTAGTTAGTTAGTTAGTTAGTTAGTTAGTTAGTTAGTTAGTTAGTTAGTTAGTTAGTTAGTTAGTTAGTTAGTTAGTTAGTTAGTAGTTAGTTAGTTAGTTAGTTAGTTAGTTAGTTAGTTAGTTAGTAGTTAGTTAGTTAGTTAGTTAGTTAGTTAGTTAGTTAGTTAGTTAGTTAGTTAGTTAGTTAGTTAGTTAGTTAGTTAGTTAGTTAGTAGTTAGTTAGTTAGTTAGTTAGTTAGTAGTTAGTTAGTTAGTTAGTTAGTTAGTTAGTTAGTTAGTTAGTTAGTTAGTTAGTTAGTTAGTTAGTTAGTTAGTTAGTTAGTTAGTTAGTTAGTTAGTTAGTTAGTTAGTTAGTTAGTTAGTTAGTTAGTTAGTTAGTTAGTTAGTTAGTTAGAACTAAAAGCAAGATTATCATCTCTATTTGGATTTACATCGGGTTAAATGTGCTAACTTCACCCATAGAGCCACTGTTACCACAGCACTGCATCTATTTTAGATAAAGCATCTATTGGGCGTATGTATTTAAACAACAAAAAATTGCATTAAAATAAAATTTAAACAAATACGATTATAGACAGTTTTAAAATAAATTGCAAGCGTGACTTGCATTTTTATTTTATTTCCAATAGATGTTTTTATTACATTCAACTTTTCCATGACACTTCACTGTTTGACTTTTTTTTGTTTTCCAACTTCTCTCTCAACTCCATGTAATAATAATTTACCTCATAATAGCAAAAATATGCCAAATATAAATATATAAATGTCTGTAAGTATGTTGGAAAAAGGTAAAGGTGATAAATCTTTTTTTCTATAGTTTATAAATATTTATAAATATTTTCCATGGAAAATGGAAAATGGAAAACTAACAAGTTAAGCAGCCAAAAGACATGATGATTTGACATCATCGCCAGGTCATTCATTCATTCGTTCGTTTATGCCTTTTTATGCATCCAGCCTCCAGTGAATAAGTTTGTGAATGTGAAATATTGTCCATATTTGAGTTTTTGTTGTTTTTGTTTTGACAAGCTGATTTATGCATTCACTGTCACTTTGAATTCCTTTTTAGTTGGTTGTTGTTGCCTTTTAGAAATGTTAAGAAATCTTTCTATTGTGACACATAATTATTTGTTTAGAATTAATGTTAAGTTGTGCTGTTTTTTTTTAATTTTTATATTATGTGGCGGATTAGTGTTTGTTATCTTATTAAGAACGTGCCTACTTATTTTCTTGATTTTTGTAGTATTTTATTTAATTTGAAAATTTATTTAATTAAATTTTATATATATAGGTATTTAAATAACTGAAATAAAGTCGTTCTTAATTAGGCTGTCAAGTTCTTCTTTAAGGAAATATTTTAATAGGCAAGAAATGATCAGTGTAAGTATGTAATTTAATGAGAAGAATACAGTATGGCGTTAGAACGTTTTATACTACGTTTCATTATTTGGATGACGAATACCATAATTCGAAGCCTTGCGTTTATGATATGTTGCTAATTACTGTCGAAGTTCCTAAACCCGTGTATATAAATACTAGTTTTGTAATACTTAAGACTACACGAGGTTTTCTGAGATTTTCTATTAAAAATATTTTTTTTTGTTGTACTCTCAATCTCAACTCAATTAATTGACAAATTATCAAATTATATTTAAATTAATTCAAAAATTTTGTATGCTAAACATCAATTAAAAATGTCAAAATTCACACCTAGTAGTTTTGTTAAAACTTGCTTGTAAAAAGATTAGGCTTTTTTTAATACATTTTATAAAGGTGTTAAAATGATTTAAATAATCTTTTTTTTAAAACAAGCCTCTTTTCCAAAAAAAAACTGAGTTTTAAAAAAAAACTTTCATTCTTAACTTTTGTTTTATTATCTTTAGCTTTATCATTTTAATCTTATAAAATATATATGTTTTACTTTATTACTATTTTATTTTTTTTTTTTTCTAAAAATTTGTTTCTATTTTAGTTTCGGTTGAAGATTTTGAGACTATTGTCTTCTTTTTCTTTTGTTTAGTGTGTAAAACTTTTAATTTATATACGAAAGATCGGGTAGTAGTATGTCGATTATAACTGTCACAGAATCATTAATGCATATCACAAAACTATATACAAAATAAAACAGCAACAACAACAGTATTTATACAACAACATTTTTTAAATATTAAAAAAAAGATAAAAATGCAACTAACAAAAAAAAAAAAAAAAAAATTACAACAATAAACTTAACTTAGTCAAAATAGTAAAAACATTTGTATGTATGATGATTATTTTTGTCATAGTCATAAATTAAATGAGCTACTGATACGATGTCATTATTATTATAAACATTTATACACGTTAGCTTAGCGGCTAAATAAGCTAAGTCGATATTTAAAAAAGATTTTAAAGACTACCTTAAACCAACAACTGTAAGTGAGAGTTCTATATACGGCCTTCAGTATTATAAACAGCAGTTCGTATACGTATTTCTTTACAAAAAAAAACAAGTTTAATAACGAAAAAGTACCAAAAAGTCCACTTTTAAAGATTTTCATTGAATCAGAATCTCATTAAATTCAGTTGAAAAATTTCAGTTCCTATAAAACTACCTTATTATACCCTGATCTCCATAAAATTTAGTAGAGAGGTTTTGGCTCATACGAAAGTTAGTTAAAGTCATTTCTGAAGGGGAGCTTATATGGGGATAGGGTCAATTGAGGACCGATCCCTATAAAATTTGATATACAGCTTTTGGCTCGCCCAAAAATTGT